AACTCTGTTGCGTATGTCAGGTTTCGTGCTGTTGCGATTAGAAAAAATGTCTTCTCTGAGACCATTAAATCTGGAAGAGACGGCTGACATTTGTGAAGAAGACAATGGACCTTATCAATGCAAAGGAAAGTGAGCATGAGTGCATCTAAGAAGACAACTAGATCACTAATGTAAATTGTTTTCTGGGGGTGTTCATGGGGTTGAAGGTGGATCTTGTCTCCATGCAGGGTTTTTAAAATGATGTTTCCAAGTTTCTGTGTGCTTTGAGATGCAATTCGGGTTCCCAGGTGCACTATATAAAATAAAGCTCTGCGTTCCCCAATCACTCTTATGGGTAACCCAGAAACAGCTTTAACTCCCCATCCCCCCCCCTTTTTGCAAAAGATTATCAAATTTGCAGGCATCAGGTGGATTAAGCCTACTAAATTGCAGGTTCAAGGGAATGATAAAAGGGTCTTGCAAATAAAAGGGACAGCAATATCCTTATAGGCCACCTTCAACAATCCATTTTAATTTCATACTTTCAAGAGTGGGGTTCTTTTTCCTTTTTTAAAATGATATATGGGCAAGTGTTGTGTATTCTTGCTTGTACTGAAAAGAAAACACACTCGCAGCTTTGCACTGGTCAGTTTAGCTTTCCCAGTGCTTGTTTGTGTTGGGAGAGTATGACATCCAACTTGCAATGCAGAGCTGTGGAGGATTTTTGTTTTCAAGCAGGCAGGGGACAATTGATTAAAAAACAAAGTATTATTTTTATGTTGTTAAATGAAGCTTTAAACTTTAAAAAAACAACAACCTCTACTGCTCTGCTCCAACCACAATAATCCAGCGCTCCTCTAGCGCTCTGTAGGCAGAATTGAGAAAGCCTCACTTCTTGCCAAGCCCACAGACCTGGAGTAGAGAGAAGTGAGAGGTGAGAGACATGGAAAACATAGATATATACTGTATAGAACAGAATACAGAAAAACAGAGTGGCAGTGCAACAAGGAGCTTTGTGGAGTCTTGATTAGACTCATGGTGCTTTGTTGACATCACAGTTTGTCCCAGGGAATGGTAAAATCAACCCTGATACAGAGCAGTTGCAAATCCCTAATACTTACCCTCATATATTCTTGTTGTTTAGTGTAGAATAGTGGTAAAGAGGCTGAGCTATGAAACAGAAATTATCTAATCTTGGCCTCTGCTATGAACTCACCAAATGGCCTTCATCTCATCAGCATGTTTCAGCTCCAGCCCCTTGGATGTACGATATAGACATGATGATAAAATTGATCCAATTTTACAAGGAAGTTGTAAGGATTACAGAGTGTATTCCAAGGCGGCAATCCTATGCACACTTACCATGCAGTAAGTCCCACTGAACTCAGTGGGTCTTACTTCTGAGTAGACATGCCTAGGATTGCACTGTAAAAATGCTAAGGAGTACGAGGTGCATATTTTTTTCCTGCTTGCCCCCCATTACTTATGAGGGCTTCCTTTATCAAGGGTGGGATTACAAAGGGAAGAAAGGAAAGTAAAAATCCAGTGAATGCGATCAAACAATAACGTAACGGGAACTGCTGCAGCTTTCTGTTCTCATTAGTTACTTCCAGTGAGAATTGCAGATCTTGAACAAATGTGATTTATTGAAATTACATTCTTTGGAATTTAAAGCACGGTTGTCATTTGACGAATACAAATTTAAAATAAAAACATTGATAATGTAGTTTTGGCAGCTGCTGAAAATTGCACAACAAACATTATTGAAAAGATCTTATACCAACATAAGGCTTATGCTTCAAAACACGATGTGGAAAATGTTTCCTCTTTGCGTCAGCAAGTACTGCAGTAAGAGAGAGAGAGCACTTTGTCCTGGAAACATTGAGACCATGCCCAATTTCTCTAATATCTGCTGGGATTCTCAAAACCTAGGGTGAGCTAGGTTTGATCCAGCAAGGCACTTCTTATATTCTGAAGCAAGAGTGCACACTCGGGATTGCAGATTACTTGTGGCTCGTCTGTTTCAAATAATGGCATGTCCTCTTGCTGTAACACATTATTAGGGGGTCACGGGAATCCTAGTAAGCAGATCCCTCAAGACTGAAGTCAGCCCAAGCCCTGTTATAAGGTGCTGGGCAATGGGACACCCAGCTTTCTAGTTGTTAAGTAATGGGGTGAAGGTGAATCTTTAGTTCTTACCGCATCAAATTGACATTGGCTCTGTGGCTCTGCAAGTGTAGCTAGACTACATCTCCCATCAACCCCAACTATTGCCCATGCTGGCTGTGGCTGATGGGGGTTGCAGGTGTTCTCCAAGGCTTTGGACATTGCTTCTTCCTACACCATTCCCCTTCTTTACCTACAGGTGTCTGGCGATCATGTTCTACCCTTTGCCTACCTTACAGAACAGGGTGCAATAGAGGAGCTAGTCAGAACAGCACATCCTGGGTATGAGAGAAGACAGGTGTGATTCTTTCCCACAGAGCAACCTTTGTGTCTTCAGTACCATTGAGTTCAAAGGGGCTTACTCCCAAGTAAGTGGATCTAGGACTGCAGTCCTAATTGCGCAGTACAGCACTAATTGCTTATTTAAATGATTTGTTTAAAAATGTACCAGTTTGTTCTTAGTACCATCAAAAGAAATAAAAGGTCAATAAAAGAACGAGGAAGTTGTAACGTGTCAGTTGTCGCTTTGCTACCAGATACACCCCTACTTGCAAGCTGGTTTCTAAAACTCTACAACAAAAGGAAAGGGAAATAGGAGAAGGGAGAGTTGAAAGGCTACGGGAAGATTTAGATATGATTTAAAGGATGAGAAAGAACCTCAGGATTCAATTCTAGAATTTGGCTGCAGCCAGTGTAAAGAGCCCAGGGAGTCAAAGTGTAGTAAGGCTAGAGTCTTGGCCTAGGACTGTAGAAAACTGGGTTCTAATCCCTATGCCTCCATGAAGCTCATTAGGGTCACACCCACACAATACAGTCAAAGCACTATTATACTATTAATAGTCTTAGCTTTCCCCAAAGCATTCTGGGAACTGATGTTTGTTAAGGGTGCTGAGAGTTGTAGGGAGACCCTTATTCTCCTCCCAGAGTGGTTTAACAATCTGTCCAGGGAACTCTGAGAATTGTAGCTCTGCAAGGGGAACAGAGATCCGCTGACAACTCAGCACCCTTAAACTACATTTCCTGGGATTCTTTGCAGGAAGCCATGGCTGTTAAAAGTGGTATAAAAAAGGTAAAGGGACCCCTGACCACTAGGTCCAGTCGTGGCCGACTCTGGAGTTGCGGCGCTCATCTCGCTTTATTGGCCAAGGGAGCAGGCGTACAGCTTCTGGGTCATGTGGCCAGCATGACTAAGCCGTTTCTGGTGAACCAGAGCAGCACATGGAAACACCATTTACCTTCCTGCCGTAGCGGTACCTATTTATCTACTTCCACTTTGAGGTGCTTTCGAACTGCTAGGTTGGCAGGAGCAGGGACCAAGCAACGGGAGCTCACCCCGTCCGCCGACCTTCTGATCAGCAAGTCCTAGGCTCTGTGGTTTAACCCACAGCGCCACCCAGTGGTACAGTTGTGCTTTAAACATATGGTGTGGATGTGGCTTAGGTGACCTTGATTCAGTTACTCCCAGCTTAAATCTCTGCACTGGGGAGAAGCAGTTTTTGTTGCCCTGAGCTCCTTCAGTGAAGAGTGGGATAAAAACGAAATAATTAAAACAAACGGAAAGGAGAAAAGGAAGCGATTCTAGATTTAGGAAGACTGGCAACAATAAATGAATAAGGGGATGGTGAGAAGCAAAGAAGAGAGGGTGGAAGAAGAGTATGGGAAGCTTTATGTTTAAGAAGCAAAAGCTTTAAAGCTTGAGACAAGAGAAAGAGAGCAAAATGGAAGGGGAAAGAAGAGGAAACCAGAGGCTGAAGAGACTACAGGAGCAGCAGCATGAGGAATGGAAACAGGACACAAATCAGAGGAAGACCAACAAAAGGGCACGATAAAGCACACACAGTGATGGAACAAACCATGCCTTTCGGCCACCACCGTGTGAGTGACCGGAAAACTATTTGGCAAGATCAATTCCCAAATGTTGTATTCTTGCTGCTCAGTAAATTTTTTGGTGGGGCAATTTTACCTCTTAGCTTGGGAGCTAATAGCAGCTAGGAAGCAGATTGGACTGAATGCCAACACCAGACCAGGAAGCAGTCCTGATCTGCCACAAAATCCCACTGGCTGCAGGCTGGCATCTATGTAAATTGGAAGTATCATGAAAGTGGAGCAAATGCCGATGTTCTGTCGTTGAAAACAAAACAGGAGTTGGCAAGAAACGTAATGCGCCCTACACATTCTGGGCTACTGCTCTTCTTCCAGAGCAATTTCAGGCAAGATACAATTAAATCAGACAAGCTAATTACTCCAGTCCCATGGATTTCAAGGGGAACTAACTTAGCCTGGAGCCAATGCAACTTATAGCTAAGGCCCATTAAAACCAACACAATTTTGGAGCACCTAATGGCAGAATGGCTTGCAGCAAACGGCACAGATCCAAACAACTGTGTGGGTAGTTTGGTATGGTCCCTGGTGGAAGAATAAGGTTAAATGTGTTTCTTGATGAGCAGGAACCCCTTTCCCTCAATGCTGTGTTGCAAGACTCCCTCTGGCTTCTTATTCTTCATAATAATAATAATAGTATTTATTACCTGCCCTTTGCCAGCAGGTCCCAGGTTGGGTCCTGAAAGCACACATCTCAGGTGTCAAAGGTAAAGGAAGAGGCGCAATATGGCATTGTGTCGGCTGCGGAAAATGAAAAACCAACCAACCTCACGGGGCATGCTCAAGCTCTTGAATGTATCTCAAGCATGGCTTTGGATGCCAGCCTATGCATTTAAAAGTTACATTTTAATCCAAGACATCAAAACACAAATGGAGTGCTGACAATGGAGGGAAAGGGGAAACAGCTGCCACATTCTAATAATGATTAAAATTGAATAATGAAGAAAGACCAAAAGGAAAAGGAAAAGAAAAAGTTCATGATATATTTTGTTTATTATTGCTCTCAAAGGGCTTGGTAGTCAAATATACAAGCTATGTTCTATTAAACCAGAAGAAAATAGTGTAAGGTATAAAATCTATGCTCACTGTTCCAACCCAAACCGCTTGATATTCTTCATGAGACACACTTACTGCTGTTTCCAGTAATACTCTCTCACACGTACTCTGCATATTTATATAAAAAACTATTTGAAGAGACAAACCAAAATTTCAAGCCAAAAAGATGAGCTGCCATGTACTAGATTGTGCCATGTTGTACACTTCAGTTTTCAAAACGGATATGTCTTTCTAAAACTGCAAACAAATTAATGTATACTTTGCTATGTCTTCAAAAACAAAATATGATCAAAATGTCATGATATGAAAACAAAACAGAAGGAAAACACCTGCTTTTTCTCTCCATAATGTACATGCAGTACTCCCAATACCTTTTAGCAGGAGCCATTTGCGCTAAGTGGAGGCTGGACACCTATTTTAACAGATCTGTACACTCTGCTTCCTTGCAACATTTCTTCCTGCACGACCCCCGCCTGCCCCCCCCACTAATTCTGTTACAGTGTCTGGCCTTATCTATCAATACAGAACTCCTTGCTCACAAGTAATGCACAGCCAGGGGACTTTCCCACTTTGTTTTTGTTATTTAGTGCATTTAAAATATATTCAACATCTTCTTCAGAAAGCAATTATACAGCATCTGTTAAACGGAGGAAAGAAAAAAACCTTTCCAACAAGGAAGTGTTATTTACCAAGTACTTTTAAAAAACACAATCCTGCCTGTTCAGTCCTCTGGTTGGATAACAGAGGGGAAATCTCTCTGCTTAGCTGTCTGTTTAAAAACAAAACAAAAAGCAGAATATATTTACTAAGTAAAAAATAGTCATGGCTGGATTCTCCCCAAGAAGCACAGGTTCAACTTCCAATGAAGTTAATAAGTTGTCTGCCCTTACAGTCAGGGTAGATTTTGTCCCCTTTCAGGAAGCGTAGCTTACCGATTCCGGGACTGACAGTTATGCTGGGGGAAAGCAAAATTCATGGATACTGTGGGCTGTGACTTAAGAAGACAATGAAGATCTTTTTCTGCAATAGTAGTTCCCTCACTGAAGAGGCAAGCAACCGCTTTATTTGAAAAATGGCTTGTCTCTGCAGAAATAGGAACGGATAGCGCAGTGTTCTAGCTGCATGGACCATTCTCTTGCATGCCATTTTCTACATGTTTGGATATTGGTTGTTTTGATCATGGCTCCATAGGACAATTCCAAAAACCTTTCACGTAGAAATCCCTAAGCAAACATTCATCAGCATGAGAAAGCTAAGATAAGCAGTTTCCACAAAGAATATTTCCAAACTTCAGAGTGGCAAGTTGCACATAAAAGTATTCTCAAAACGAGCTCCTGCAAGTGAGGAATAAGAATAATTTTAAAATGCTAACATTTGGAAAGTAAGATGTCACACATTTACCCCTGGCTATGAGAGGATGTGTGTGTTACTATCACATCATAAGGAGCAGTAGGGGCCCAATTCTGCTTTGAATCCCATTTATAAAGCTTAATTCCTATTGTTTTTGTTTGTTTGTTTTTTGGATGCGGATCTGATTGCAAAATTTGGTCCCAGCACTGGAAGATGATATATGCCACTGCCATATACTTTCAAATATTTCTGTGATGCAGAAATCAATTTGCAAAGCCCTATTAAAGGCAGCTGCACACAAAACAGTATCTGAAGGGAGACTTTGTGACTAGTCATTCACCTACAACATTTGTTATATGGAGTAAACCTCGAGGTGCTGTGCCAGTCAAAACATGGTTGGCTTGAAGGCCAAGCAAACAAATGGCTTTCCATAGGGAAGCAACCTCAATGCATTGTGACTGAGGACAGCCACCACATCAAGTACCTTTCTACTTAGCTCTTATATGTGTTTTTGGAGCAAGAGATTGTTGAAACCAAACCGGTAGCTCTTAATGTGCAGCAGAAAATCCTCAATAAGTCTGAACCTTTTAAAAAAGCTTCATTGATTGCTGGATGACCTGGCAATATCCCGTGATAATGTAGGCAAACTGACATTCCAGCCCTAAACACATTTGCCTGGAAGAAAGTTTGACCTGAAATCAGTAGTGTTTCCTTCCAAGTAAGTGTGCTGAAGGCTGCAGAGGTACAGTACCAGCCCTGTGTTATCTACTACAATTAGTAGCTTTTTGAATACAATTTGTTTCCAGGTTCCTCTGTTGTTTTAGGCTGTTTTTCACCACAAGCCATACAGGAGATTCTGAGAACAGACTTTCTTTTTTTTTGCAGTGGGGGCAGAACTGCCAAGATGAAATGACTGAGCAGCCATAGTCATACTGGTAACAATTTCAGGGTCATCATATAAGCTTTTTGTTTTGTTTTTTTAAAGAAAGAAATAGCAAATCTATGTAGGAAACTGAGCTAAGCACATCCCTGTTTCAGCTGGGAGTGCATGAGGGGTAGGGAATGTGTTTGTCGAGTAGGGAAGCCTGGAACCGCATTAATTCTAGAGCCTTGTTCAAAGTATGTGCTTATCAGTCAGGTACTGCTGCCATTGGAACGCCACGGGTGTACAGAAATGAATAAATATTAACCTAAAAATAAAACATCTGCAAATAAAACATCTGCAAGGATGAAGTAGCTTTTCTAAACTGCTTCCTCCTCGAGGAGCAGCTGTTAGTCAATTGGAGATTGTGTTTTGCTGCAATTCATGCTGCCTTGCTTGTTTGTTTTTTTAAAAAAAGATGCCATGAATAAGAAAATATTAGTTTTAGCAAGAAGAAACATTCAGTAGCTCCTCTTGCGAGCAAGTGTTGTACTCTTGAAAGACAAACCAGTTTATCTGAAGATGCATGTAGCTACACCCATTAGTTCCCCCTCCCACCCACAAGAAAGCCAAAAATAAAACAAAATATTAGCCCAGATATTTTTTTCTCCCCAAGCTTATGAACACAGGGATCCTTGGGCAGGTAAGTAGTCAACTGTTTCCTCTTCCTCTTGAATCTTCCAATTTCTTCAGTCTTGGCTCAAGTATTAGTAGTTATCAGTTAATAAGAAAAAAAAGATAAGTTTTCTAAGTGTCTTTCTTTCAATGAAGTTAATTTGATACCATAGTCTTGTTATATGTTTGGAACTGTATCTGTGAAGTTATTCCTTTTTCTTGAATTCTTGGTTGCCGTAGCTGGAGCCTTTTTCTATTTCTGTTACGCCGATCAGTCTGCGAACTCCAAATGAAGCTTTAAAACAGAAAGGAAAGAGAGATAACTGAGTTACGCCGCTCCTTGTCAATTAATGATCTGTTATATACTGAAAAGTAAACTATAGAGAAGGTAGCAAAATGTGCGCATTTGCATAATGTGTGTGTGTGCATCCATGCACATTGGGCTGTGTGTGTGTATGGGTATGTGTATATATGTGTGTGTGTAGTGCTGATTCATTCTATACCACCACCCCCAAATTCCTAGCTGTTAGAAAGAGGAAGGACCAACTCAGCCTGCTAAATCCCCACCTACTAGAAATCCCACTCCACACTACCATACCCAATCCCATAAACTCCACTTCTGAGTTTTCACTCGTTTTAAAGTTATCCACAAACAGACAATAGGAACCAAAAAGGGACAGGGAAACTACGGCCAGGGATAGGGAAGAAATTGTATTCAGTTTGTATTTAAAGGTGAATCAAATTAATTTGCAATAACCAAAATAATATACAAACTGAATGTCAGACATCTTTCTAAATTTGCAGTGCCGTTTTCTAGCCAAGTAATGTAAACAAGAATGCACACACTAAGGTAAACTGTGCATATGAATACATATCTTATCTTTGTGAAAACAACATACATAAATGTACCATATTATGGGAAATTTAAATATTAAGGAAAATAAAATGCATGTGTTGGCAAAATTGCATAGTATGATATGTATATTAGGAGAAAACTGCACTCCATTTGCAGATTTTATTTTTTGAAATTGCAAACAGATGTGAAAATGCGGAGAACTTAACTTTAAGGTTGGAAAGATGAAAGACAGAGAGAAACCAAAATTGGTACCCATTTCTACCGGTGGCTTACCAGAAGTTGTTGGACTATAATTTCCATCATTCCCATTGGCCATGATGGCTGGGGACTGATGGGCAACATCGGCAGTGCTGCAGGCCCCACAGGCCCTGGGCTGGAATGAAAGCCAAGCCCCTTGGGACCCTGAATTTTGCATCTTTAAATGTTACATCTGCACAGAACACCAGTGCAGAGATCAAGCATCTGATGAGGACTCAAAGGAGTAAAAGGCAAGAGCAGGTACAACAATTAAACTAATTTTTAAAATATATTTAACAATCCATTCAAACTGTGTGTGTAGCATTGTTTGTGTTTATTACTATGTTATGCACTTTTGTGTTTTTATACTGTAAACTGCCCAGTGATCCTCAGATGAAGGGTGATATAGAAATACAACAACAACAACAACAACAACAACAACGTCTATGTGATGCAAGGGCCAATGTATTAGGTTTGTCTGGATGGTCTTAGGGAAGTAACTGTTGCTCAGCCTTAACTTATTATAGGGCTACTGTAAAAAGAAAATGAAGTGTATATTGTAACCTATCCTGAGCTCTTGATTGGGAAAGATAATCAAAATACAGTCATACCTTGGATCTCAAACGCCTTGGCTCCCGAACAAATCGGCTCTCAAATGATCGAAACCTGGAAGTGAGTGTTCTGGTTTTCGAACAATTTTCATAAGCCGAACGCCAGGAGTGGCTTCCACGGCTTCTAATTAATCAGAAGCTGCGCGTTGGTTTTCGAACGTTTCCGGCAGCTGAACGGACTCCCAGAACGCATTCTGTTCGAGAACCAAGGTACGACTGGACAAGATTCTGAGTATACTTCTCAAAGTGCTAATTATTAGGTCTAACAACCACTGTGTTCCAGTACAGATAGATAGATGGATGCAGTTCTTATTTGTCTTAACACAATCTTCCTTCCCCACCTCACTGCAAGTCAGCTAACAAGCTGAGCAAATGACCGTGGGGCCTGGCTGTATCACAGGATACAGATGTACACATTCAGCTCAGCGTTTATTACCTGCTCCAACAAAGCCCATGAATGAAAGAATCAAGAGAGGAGATCCGCTTGCAAAAATGCCAAAACCAAATTTGAAAAGAGGAGACAGGACAATGGTGGCCCAGAACAGAAAGTTGAGGAGAGTCCATGGTCTTCTGCGAGGTTTGATTTGCTCTCCAGGAAATGTACCCTCTTGATTATACTTCTCTTGTAAAGCATCCTTGAAGTGAGAAAGAAAAAGCTTTCTAATTTGGGGACACACAGGGGTGCATTCATATCATTCAATGCCTGTACATTTTAATATGGTCACAGAGGCAGGTCTCTGTGACCCAGTACTCGTTGCTGCAGGAGCAATCTGTATTTTCTGTCCATCATGATTACTTAAAAAGCAAAAACACCTTTTTAGTGAAACTAGGCTCTGCTACTCTATTGCCAACCAAATCCTTTCTATATTCATTGTGCCTTCTTCTGAATGCCATCACTGTCTGGATAGGAGATGGTGTTCCCTGATGGTTAAATGGCAGGATATGGTAAGAAAACAAAATATAAATAAAATACAGTCTCCCAGCAAGCTGAAAGGTGTGTCAATGTCACACTTTACATTATTCATGTAACCTAGTCATGAAGTGTTAACCTGAAACTACTGTTAGTCCCATCAAGTGTTATGGCTACTGCTTAAACAAAACACAACTTGTCCTTAGAAGTATGTGGCAATGGATGAACCCAAGTTATTCTCAGGCAGCCCCAAGCATTCAGGGCCCCATTCGCACAATCAATTGCACAAAGTTAGAAGGTAGTAAACTTAGGCTGCATTTGCATGTAACCCAAAACCTTGGTTTTAGAACTGCATGAGCCCATACAAGCCCCAGGCTCCTGTGCTCACATCCTTGAGGCTTCTCCTTTGGTGTCTATCATGCACCAAGCCCTTACATAAAAGTTGCTGTTACTGTGTAAAACCATCTTCAGTTTCAAGCTTATTATTCCCCTAAGGGGAGCTGCATCGAGTGAGCTGTAACTGTATTAGGTTACCTTTTATTTTCCCCACTGATTTAACTGCTATATACAATACATGGTAATTAGTCTCCAACTATTTCCATTTCCACTGACAAGGGCAGCGTAAAGAAGCAAGTAAGAATGCACAGTGCCGCTGGTAAACCATAGCTTGCAGATCAGATTAGCACAGAACCCTCAAACCCTTTATCTGGCGGGGGTGAGGATCCGACTTGGGCAGATTCTAAAACACTTAAGAAATCAGCCCCATTGATTTCAGTGAGATTTTTATTTCTATGCTGCCTTAGGGATGAATGAAGGAAAACAGGCCACCCAACCCGATGGAACCTTTATTAGCAGAAGTTACAGTTTTCTCTTGAATTAGTATTCTCTCTCATAGAATGAAGTATCATCTTTAGAACAAATCAGATTCTTGACGTTTTGTTCAGTGTTAGTATATCCATTCCCCCCCCCCTTTTTTTGCTACTGTGAAACCCCATTGCTCAGTAAAATTCACATGATATAGAAAAGACAGGATTGGGGCCCCATTTGTGGAGGAAGCAACGTATCGCATCACCATGGTCTAACAGAGAGTATGTACATTCAGCTTGGCACACCTTATCTTGAGATATGAATGTGGACAAATGTCAAAGCACTTTCCCCATGGTAGAAAACATGTTTATGTTAAAAGAACCATGGGAGATCTTCCACAAAGGATCTTCCATATCACATCTAGTTGCTCCCTTACAGATATAGCAATGCTGTCTTCTTTGAGAATTCATTCAATTAGCATATTATTCCATAAGATCTTAGAGGCAGGGCAAGTGATTTACCTTTTCTTGGTAAAGTTTATGGAGCCACTTTGCTGCTTCCTTTTCGTCCAAAGGGATATCTTCTAGTGGAAACCTCCTGGTTTGTTTGTTTTTAAAAAAGGTTCAATAAAGAGCATTTAATAAAGAATGAGCATCACAATTATAACTTCTTTGCTACTTATACTGAGTGTTCTGCTCTAGATGAACACAAGTTAAAGTGAAAACCCTGTATTGTCACATTCGTACCATGAATTTGCCACTAGGGGGTGCCCACAGCCAGAATACATAGGTTGCGCAGCGGAACACTTACTTCTTGCTTTGTACAAAAATGGATGGGTGAGTTTATTGAGAAGTGCTATATTTTTTTTAAAAAAAATAGTGGCATGATTCTCTTTCTTGGGTCAGATAACCACAGGAACTTGAAGTTAGTGAAGAAATTCCCGTGGTCCATCTACTCTAAGTAGTGACAAAGGTTAAAACGACAATAGAGATTCTGTTGAGGAACCACACAGACTGTGACTCTTTGGAACTTGGCTGCCCTGTTATAGCTGTATAACAAATAATGCCATTTTAGTTTGTTGGCTTGAGGAAGCTGGGAACATAAGACACAACTTGTCTGTTGAGCTGAGTGCTGTCGGCTCTGACTGGCAGCATCCAAGGGTCTTTCTGAGCACCTACTCTGGAGCAGGATCTAACCAGGGAACCTTTGGGTGCAAGTGGAACAGACTCCCACAAGAGGTGGTGGACTCTCCTTCCTTGGAGGTTTTTAAGTAGACAGTCATCTGTCTGATTGAGATTCTTGCAGCACAGGGGATTGGACTAGATGATCCCCGGAGTCCCTTCCAACTCTAAAAAAGGTAAAGGTAAAGGACCCCTGACAGTTTAGTCCAGTTGCGAATGACCCTGGGGTTGCGGCGCTCATCTCGCTTTACTGGCTGAGGGAGCCAACGTTTGTCCGCAGACAGTTTTTCCGGGTCATGTGGCCAACATGACTAAGCCACTTATGGCCAAACCAGAGCAGTGCATGGAAATGCCATTTACCTTCCCAATGGAGCAGTACCTATTAATCTACTTGCACTTTTTTTAGCGTGCTTTTGAACTGTGAGATTGGCAGGAGCTGGGACAGAGCAACGGGAGCTCACCCAGACGCGGGGATTTGAACCACCAACCTTCCGATCGGCAAGCCCAAGAGGCTCAGTGGTTTAGACCACAGCGCCACCCACTTCCCCTTCTTCCAACTCTACAAATCTAAAAAATCATGTGCTCTCCCATTGAACTATAACCCCTCGCCCAAAAGCACATGTCTTTCAGAACACAGCACCGGTGTGAGTTAAAATGCTTGCTTTAAAAAATAATAATTATGGTGGGAGAGGCAAGTAATGGCAGCCACTGCCATGTCATTCCATGAGCTGTACAAGGGGCAATGTCTGGAGATGGTTCAGTAATTTTTGTGAAAGGTGAGCTGTGGACCACTTTGGAGATCCCCAAAAGCCCCATAATCCTTCAGGGCTTTCTGTTTGACAGCCCTGAACTAGATAATTCTTCTTTTCCTAGGGCCATAAAAAGCAAAGACTGTGGCAAGCCTGATGACATGTATATCTGTGGGGCACCAAAGAGATGACAAAGCCTCCTTCATCACCATTCACAAGGGTAGAAATGACTTGCTTCAGATACGCCTGAAGAGGATCCAGTCAGAAAGCATTCCTGGCAAGTCTTTTACTGAACAAAACAAAAACAGAGGAGATGGGCCATCCATTCATATGGCTGAACAGCAGGCCTAGCCGAAAAAGCATAGGCAACTGGATCTCAGAACTTCAAGCCAGACTGAACTCAGCTATCTAAAAGACACGAATGACTGTACTATGCAGTTCACCAATCTTTAAGAGAGGGCAGTAGGAATTTATGGAGCTTTACATAATGTACTTTCCCACGACCACATGGGTCTGTCAAACCAAATATGGAAGACGCTGAAATGGCAGGCAGAGCCAAGCATTACTTTTACAGAATTCGTAGTCGTGCTGGATGCATGCAACAGCCTTCGTCTTCTAATATTAATGGGGGGAAAGAGGCTCTTCCATACTAAGCCTGAACAGCTGAAGTATCCCAAATCCATGCGGTGAAAGAACATGGGGAAAAGGAGGCAGGCTTACCACCATATTTGGACACTGTGACAATTCTGAAATACGTGCCATGCTCTCAAATACATGCCATGCTCACCTGACACACATATCAGCTTTGTATTTCTTCCCATAAAGGATTCCTAATAAGGAGGGGTTCTTGTTTCCTCTGAAGTTTAACGTTACATCGTACACGGCTGAAACTGTGGCAAACGAGAAGAGGTCACCATTATTTTAGCCTCTAGGATCCAACTTATTTAATTGTTATAACAAGGCATACAAACAGAGTTCCAAATAATGAGGTGAGGCTCCTGAGACTGGAAGCACATCATTCTCCCAAGTACAATGCTCCACTGGCCAGACAACGTCAACACAAAACTGTGCTGCAATTCCAACAGCATTTAAATTGGTTAGGACCAGCCGCATTCACTGCATTGAGTGGGACGTGAATAAGCATCTTACTGCTTTCTCAAAATTCCCAAAGTGTCCCGCTGTTTTACTGCTACTGAACATGTCTCTGGTTCATGCACTCCCCATGCCCCTCTCCTCCTTTGGCACATGAGTGAAGAGAAGTTCAGAAGCAGTGTTTGTTTCATCTGAATTGCGACAAATGGTAGTTAGCTCAAATCATGGTTTATCAAACAAGCTAAGATCAAACTGCGGTTTCTGATACTCGCTTTCTGTGGTGTGTGTGGGGGGGAACATGATAAAGCTAAACGCAATGGTTGTTGTTGTTTAGTCGTTTAGTCATGTCCGACTCTTCGTGACCCCATGGACCAGAGCACGCCAGGCACTCCTGTCTTCCACTGCCTCCCACAGTTTGGTCAGACTCATGTTGGTAGCTTCGAGAACACTGTCCAGCCATCTCGTCCTCTGTCGTCCCCTTCTCCTTGTGCCCTCCATCTTTCCCAGCATCAGGGTCTTTTCCAGGGAGTCTTCTCTTCTCTTGAGGTGGCCAAAGTATTGGAGCCTCAGCTTCACGATCTGTCCTTCCAGTGAGCATTCAGGCCTGATTTCCTTAAGAATGGATGCGTTTGATCTTCTTGCAGTCCATGGGACTCTCAAGAGTCTCCTCCAGCACCATAATTCAAAAGCATCAATTCTTCGGCGCAATGGTTAGTGAACACTTGTAGTTAAGCCAGAGGAGGGGACAGGGAGCAGGTTCATGCATTTAATGCTGAACAGTGGTTTAACATGACATCTGAAGCAAGTTACCCTGTTTGTATAAAACACAACAGCAAACTATGGTTTGCTGCAAAAACCGAAATAATGGAGAGAACCAGATTGCTTGAGCATACAGGGAAGAAAAAGAGACGAGGGAGCTCATGAGTCAGAGCCTCCTTTATGTAATACTAAGTTGTGGTTTGGTGATTAAATCTGAACTCAGCTTTAGTGTTAAGCTAATGGGTGTGAATCTTAGTCATGTTGCAGCCAACAGAAGTGAAGAACCCTGAGATTATACATACATGAAGACGGGTATCTATATGTGACTCACAGAAACACAAGGGAAATTACTTCACATATAGAAAGAAAAAATTAACATTAATATTAGGTATCTTCACCTCTCAGAATCTCACAAGTATGCTGAAATGTGTGTTAAAATATTTCCCATCTAGCAGAAAAGGGAAATTAATCGAAGCCAGTGTTTTGCTCAAGGCAGTTCTTCATCCAGATTCAACTCTGTTGTCTTTCCTAGATTCAAGTGGCTCTTATGGATTAAACACAATCCAGAGGAAAGTACATGTAAATAAGTGCTCCTGAATCAATAGTATTTAAGCACTTAAGTGGAAGCTAGACACTCTTTTATTTCCTCAGGATTTAAATCACATTTATACTTCTCTGGGTTGTGCTGAGTGGAGGTGGGGGATAATTTCAATTTGCAAAGGGAAGTGCCATAATCTTTTATCAACAGTCTTTAAAAAACACTGTCACACTTTTAGAACACCTGGGTAGATTGGGAAGGGAGAGGAATGTGGATGAGGAATGGCATAAATGTGATAAACCTTCCACCAGTAAGTAGGGAAGGGGACATTGTGACTTTTTATGTCTTCCTAACCTCCCCAGATTCTGCAGAACAGTTTTGATGCTGTTGTCTGGAAAGACATAGCAAAACTTGTAACCCACAATTGTATTTGGCCAGCCATCTGTCCTATTTAACAGCCTTGTCTGTGTGGCATAACACGAACTTACACCTCACATGCACGCTGGGAGCGTTAATTAGTCAATGTTTGCACACCACTTTAGAAATGTGAAGTGCTAAGTAGCAATATTAATTTCTCTGAATTCAAAGGGGAACTAATTAGCGTATTAAGAACTAATTACGAAATAAAATCCAGCGGTCTAAAACGTCAACATTAAAGTCAATACTGATTTTCCACTGAAGAAAACAATAATAATCTGGGGACCAACAGCAATGAATGTGCTCAAGAATCACATCCACAAACACTGCAAGGAAGGCCAAGGAAATAGATACCTGTTCCCCTGAGACACTGGACGGCAGTTGTGAAACCTTTGGTTCTGGGCAACAGGTGATATTTGAGCTTAGGCAATCCTTTGGATTCTGCCACTTCCATACTGATACGATGCTTGGTCTCTGTAAAACGAGTTCCTTCACAGTACAAAAGAAACTAATGGAACAGAACAAGAGGGGAGGGGTGGAAGAAACATCCAAGTGTTACTTCTCAAATAAAGAAATCATATGGAGAGTTTGCTGGGGACCAGTATCTGGATTCAGAAACTTCTGCATCAGTGGAAAGATTGCATGACACCAAGGACCCAGAGACAAAAGAAGAGCTCTGTTGGGTCAGGCCAAAGACCCATCTAAGCCCAGCGGCCTGTTCTCATAGTAGCCAACCATATGCCGAAGGACAACAGCACTCTGCCTACCTGCGGTTCCAAGCAACTGGGTAGTCAGAGGGATACAGCCTCCACCTATGGGGGCAGAACACAGCCATGGTGCCTAGTGGCCACTGATAAACCCTCTCCCTCAATCATTTCAGGAGGCTGCCACTGAAGGGAGAAGAATCCTCAGGCACCATTGCTTTTACCAATCATTCCTCTCCAGAACTCCCCTCAGCTTCTCAAATCTCTCTCACCTTCAGTACCATGCCAGTCCCAGAGCTGGCAACAGGTACACGAGGAGACTTACCAGTATGGTTAGAGCATGGACCTCAGAACCAGAGCACCACCACATCTTTCATGGGGAGATTTTCAATGCCACACTCCTCCCTGCTGCAACACTTTATCCCCCTCTCCAGAGAGCTTTAACCAGCACTAGACTGCCACCCATGACTATTTGCTTGCTGGACGTATTCTGTTGAAGTGTTTTGCCTCCCATCACCATCCTGACTTGAACAGAGGGCTCAGCACTTTTGCTGATGTCTGAATTCCACCTATTCCTAGGTCTTAAGGCCTCAGGCTCAAATAGGAGACCCTGACCCAGAACTCATTTAGAATGAGAACATGCCCATACCTCAGATTTCCTCACATGCTCAAAGCATCCTCTTTAGGGTCATTTCATCACTTAGTTTTCCAATAAAGATATTAAAAACTGTATTTTTTCAGGGGGAGATTCCCAACATGTAAATTTGGAGCACATCAGACCATTTGTGCATTGCGTGTTAGTATTCAGCATATTAATACTATATCCAAATACAGTGATGTTGCAGGGTCACTTCTGCAAAATCTGTACCTCATACTAAAAAAATGGGAGAAATTCAACATAGCACTAAGGAGATTGTTCTGTCAGCTCAAGCACTGCTGCTTGCCTGATGGAATGATCTCCCCCCTTGAACCAATTTAGGGGGTTCAAGGGAGGAGAATGGAAGGCTAACTGGTCCAGCTAGTTGAATCCGGCCCATACTTTTGTACCATACACAAACACGCCTGCCAATTTCAAGTTGGAATTCATTGAATAAGCTGCACACATGAAGGGTTTAAACCAAAGACAGCTGCACAACCTACCTGAGGTGAGATATTGAAGACTATATACTGTTAGACATGAATCCACATACAGATTTGTATATAAAATCTTAATATGGCCACACACACACACACACACCATGCAGGAAGACCACACCTTTCACTATCTTGTTCAAAGTGCCAAGGGCAGGCCTTGCAAAAATTAACTTACCCACATATACTCTGGATAATCGGACAATCGTTTTAGGCCTTCGACAACTTTATCTCTGTCTTCTTCCCATTTCCTTTTGCAGAAAACAATCTCCAGGAAGTACCATGTCCAGCCAATTAGGGGCACGTACAACAGCTCTTTCTTAGCAAGAACTTTTGAACTCTGAAAGGAACACCACAAGATAGTATCCATTTGTTTGTTTACAACACATCATTTACAAATAGTGCCATTTCCAAAACTGTTCTGAAGCGGCCTAGTAAGGTGATGTTGTTTTTTTGTTTCCTGGAAATTACTAGTCACATCATATTATTATTAATTATTTATTATTATTATTATTATTATTATTATTATTATTATTATTATTACATGTATATCCTACCTCCAAGGAGCTCTAGAAAACATGGCTTTCTCCCCATTTTATCCTCACAACAACCCTATGTGGTAGGGTGGGTTCTCTGTGTTTGTATGTTTGTGTGTGTAAAAGGGGAGGAGGAGAGAGATTGGTCCAAGGTCAACTGGACTGAATTGGGGGGGGGGTGAATCTTTGTCTCCCCTGTCTGAGTCTGAAATGTTAAATCCTACTTTTGGATTGGATTCCTGTCTCATTACATATGCTAATCATCTGCATACTATCCCTTGCTGTAGGACTAATTTCAGTCGTTAACAGTCATCAACAGGTTTACCATACCCATTGAGTCAATCACCCATCTCATACTACCCTCCTGAGCAAAAGCCCACCCTACCCTCCCACTATATATAAGGGTCTGATGACTTCTCTTTCAGTGTATCTGAATAAGTGTGCATGCACACGAAAGCTTATACCAAGAACAAACTTAGTTGGTCTCTAAGGTGCTACTGGACAATTTTTTTTATATTTTTATATATTTCAACTGTGTCAGACCAACACAGCTACCTACCTGAATCTAATTTTGCTGTTAGTGGGAAGGAAATTTCTCCAGTAGCTGCCTCCCTTTCCCAAGGTGAAAAATAAACCTGACCCTACCCCTCAAATTAAAAGATACACAAGGCTACAATTTCAATGCACTCACCCCCAAGACGCCAAATCGCTCTGTCATGGTCCAGCCACACAGAAAGTCTATTTCAAAGTTGTGGTTCAGAATGATGATGACATGCTCTTTTCCAAACTTATCGACTGTAGCCTGGTCTGAGAACAAAGTGCATTCTGTACCAGACCACCATTCCAGCAACATCACTAATTCTAAGTCACAGGAGGAAACAAAGAAAGTAGATTAGGCCTTAATGTTTTACACCACTGTATATGGCAGACTATTATTTCCAACCTTTTTAACTCTGTTAAATGTGCAGTTATATACTATCTATACAGGGCAGAAGCAAACAATTTTCAGGGGTTTTGTTTTGAACACCCTACTTTCTTACTGATGACAATTATTTAAAAGCTCCACTTTCAGCCTTAAAAGATATGAATTTCATGGCTGCGAGAGCACTTTTAAATCAAATTGGCTGAAGTTTACAATACAGTTTCCAATGCCAAACAAGTCAACCATTCTGATCAAGATGAAGATCACCAACCATTGTTTCAAAAGTTGTTACAATTACCCAACCACATTATCCAATTTTGATAATTTTTGCTGAGATACAAACATAACTCTGCCATTTAATTAACTATATGATTAAGTAACTGGGAGTGGTGCACAGGACGGTTCATTCCTTTCCTTTCCTTCACTCACTCTCTCCCTCTGTCGTGCAGGGCCTAACCACAGTGAACCCAGTAATATTAACTGCAGCTAGAGGTAAACAGGTGTGTTGAACCAGAGGCGAACTGTACCAGAAGCCATCTTTTTAACTGTACCAGAAGCCATCAATTTAACCCCACTATTAATTGGTAGCTGTTGTAGCAATGAGCTCATATATGTTGATATCCACTTCCGTTGATGTAGGCTAACTGGCTTGCTTTGATGCTGCCCTTATCTGTGGAGTGCTGGGCTGTGAGCTGAGAAAGTGAACTATCTGTAAAATTTGGGAATTTGCCACATAGGCCCTCCTTCATCAGGATCAGAAACAGAGCATACGACATAGCTCAGCTCTGGGTAGCGTGGCAGCAGAAGGACTGAGGGAGGAGCAAAGCAGTCGCTATTCCTGCTCTGTGGATCCATGGTTTGCATGCAATCTCAGCCACTGTGTCATAGCTGTCAACCATCCCTTATTTGGCAGGAAAGTCCCTTATCCCAGTGCCGTGTCCTGATGCTGCCCCTTATTGATGATTTCCCTTAAATTTCCTGGGTTTCAAAAGAAGCAGCTCCTCTCCCTTCCTCCCTGCCAGCCAGAGAGGAGGGAGGCTCCAGCTATGTTGCTTGGCTGCGTTGCTCACCCAATAAGGAGTCTAAGAACGACTGGGGGGTGGAGCTTGCATGCCTGATGCCGATCAAATCGGCCGTGTTGCCTGGGGACTCGCCTTTGCTCAGCGCTTCCCAGCGGAGAGGTGACGGTGGTTTTCCTTGCTGCAGCCCCTTTGCCGGGTTGCTGCGCTATGGGAACCACCGCTTGAGGCTTCGTTTGGCTGCTGGCTGGGCTTTCTGCCTTTGGCTCGGAGGGGCTCAGAAGTTGAACATGCCTGTGCTCTGAAAATCCCTTATTTTGGCTGCTGGTCCCTTATTTTCGAGGCTGCTGGTCCCTTATTTTCAAATCTGTAAGTTGACAGCTATGCACTGTGTGCTCCCTTCCAGTCTCAATGCCTATTTGATCGTTTAATGATGATGAGTAAGCAGTCAGCAGCATTGCCTCAGCACCAGCCCAAGGCCCTGTTCAGATGGCAGCTTACTGCAGCAGAACTTGTTTTAAACCTGCATCACTCATAAAAGACTCTGGTGTTTTAAAAAGGGAAGTGGCCGCATTTTGTTCTGCACAGGTTTACAAGCACTGGTGCATTTCTGTTACTGTCTGAATTTTTAAAAAAATTATAACCCATCATACAACTGCAGGCAGATAACAACTGACTATGTTGTTCCTTCCCTGCAATGTAGCCCAATGAATAAAGGAACCCAAGATCCCACCAGACCATTTGGAATCTCTGTCTGTGTTCACACATTACAGTAAACCATAGTTAATAGTCTACAAGGAATACAGAGATCACTCCTACTTCACTTCTCTCCTAGTGTGAGCAACAAACTAGGACTCCTGGCTTAGTGTTCTGCCCAGAGAGAGGGCTGTGGTTCATCTGGAGTGAAACAAATCTACAATCCCTCATTCGAATGTAACACTAAACTAGTGATGCTGGTTTGTTGTTTCTATTCTTGCTAGAGGAAGAGCGCTTTCACTATGGTTTACATTGCTATGCAAACACAGCCACTATTTGCCTGTCTGCTTTTCTTAAGATGGGAACCCTCTGTTAATACTGGACAGCCTGAAGAGGAACTTTTAGACTCCAGGAGTATTTCCCTATTTTTTCTGACAGTTCTTGCCAGCAGCTTGAGGGGGAAGCAAAAGGAACAGAGAATTGGTTCTGAAGAAATGTTTGTAGCCTGAAGTACTGACTTCACTAGTGTTGGGAAAATCCCAAGATCCTTTTGCTTTTCCTGAGCTTTTACAGCTCAGCTCCAATATTGACATCTTAGAAACTGAATGAATTTTTTTTTACTTGTTAAGCCTTGTACAGAAATGTCCCACCCCAATAAACCTGACAGTGGTTCCTGGTGTATTTTTCCAGCGGTGCATTTTATTCTTGTGTGGTTTAAAAGTAGGAAAAACTGGAAGTCAGAGAAGTACATAACAATATACTTTACAGCAGGAATGGGGAGCCTCCCCCACCCAAATATTTCTGAATTACAACTCCAATCATCCCTGGCTACTGGCTATGCTTTTTGAGGCTGATGGGAGTTGTAGTTCAGCAACATCTGAGGAAGGGAAGTTCGTTGGAGGTGAGGAGTGAGACAGAGACAGAGAGTGATGCTGGTAGGTTCAGCCTTAAGTATCACAACTTATATACAGTACTGCCCTGTGATCTTTGGATAAAGGGTGGTAAACTAATTTAATTAACAAACAAACAAACAAACAAACTTTAAATACATGTTAACACATGTATATTTTAACAACTTTAGCTTTGTGTTAATCAGCTGGTCACCAAGTTAATACCCCCCCCGGCACCTGTTGCACCTGTGGAACGCCCTCCCTGCAGATGTCAAGGAAATAAACAATTATCTGACTTTTAGAAGACATCTGAAGGCAGTCCTGTTTAGGGAGGTTTTTAATGTTTGATGTTTTATCGCTTTTTATTATTATTAATAATAATCTGTTGGGAGCTGCCCAGAGTGACTGAAGAAACCCAGCCCAGATGGGCGGGGTATAAATATATTATTATTATTATTATTATTATTATTAGTCTGAATACTTGAAGAGTGGAACATCACTTAGCCTTAAAATCAAAAGAATGTCATGGCATTTTTTAAAAAATATGATTATGCAAAAAACAACAACAACCAAAAACAGCAGAGGGGAGGGACTCAGTGTACGAGCTGCAATGTACAAAAATCTTGCAAACAGTAAACTATCCATTTAGACTTGGATGGAGCTATTGTTGCTAGGAGAGTAAAAACTGAACATGCTGAGCTCTCCCCCACTTTTTTTTCTTAAGTCATCTGGAGGTAGCTAGAATGAATAAGGCTGGAATATAGATTGCCTTCATTAATTAAATATGCAGCAAAGTGTTTTCTCTTTGCAGGAAGTCAGACGAAACATCCGCGCTGCTCTACAACAGGAAAGAAGCTTTTTCAGAGAAGTGCAGCACTGATCGTTTTAGTTAAGAGCGGCACAGCAAGAGCTTCAAATCTCTGAAGGGAGCCAGTCTGTGAATGACTTTCACATGGCTGGCATCCCATGGTGAGGAAAAGGTTTACGGTTCTAAAATTACCTCATCAAATAGTTATACTGGGGTTTGTTTGTTTTTTAAAGTGTACAATGTATATGAAGCTTTTTTTTTTAAAAAAAAGTTACATTAAAATATCCTTGAAGAGCAATCTGGAAAGGGGGATCTAGTCTTAAAAGGTCAGTTTATTCTGCACTATGTATGCAATGATCATGACGGACCACCATCAACAGAGACTTGCGTCTCTTTCCACATCACACTAAATGCCATGCTTGGTGGTTTCACATGCTCAGTTGCGAGTCCTCAAGAGACGTGTTATACTGAGTGTTGTGTGAATCAGCCTGCTTAAAAAGCATAGATTGAGCTCCAAAATGCATGGGTGCTTCAGCTGGTATACACAGGGGGAAAGGGCAGCTTTTCACTACAAACACAAATTTACTTTTCACAGCAAATTCTGCATTGGGGAAAAGAGAGGTGTGGGGAGTTGCAGCATTTTTAAATCCAATGACTTAACATCCTCTAAAGCAGGGTCAAGAAACTTGTGGTCCCTGCAGATGCTGTTGGAGTTCATCTCCCATCAGCCCCAACCAGTGTGGTCAAAGATGATGGGGGTTGTAGTTCAACAACATCAGGATGAACACAGATACTCAGTCCTGATTAAGAGCCTGAGAAAGAATGCTAAGAACGCAGCAGTCATCACGGTCAGTCTAGTCTCAGGGGTGGAATCAGTGTAAGACCTGGATTTTAACTGGCTAGTTAAATACTAGAAACCTTCTATTGAGTCTTTGCTTTACAGCTTCAAGGCAGCTAAATAAAAACCTAGTTACTTCCCCACTCCAGGTACCAAACAGTTACCTATGAATACAGGAAAATCCTCTATATCTCACACAGCCAGCCAGCTAAACAGGTTTGGGAGATGACCTGTATACTCAGCTGCACTACAGTGAAACAGAATGTCTTGTCTAGCTCTACCTAACTATGATGGTTCAAAGCTCTCCAAGAAGCTATTGTTCTCAAGATTTTTAAACCGAAGATGCCATAGATTGAATCTGTTGCCTTGATACAAAAACGAGCTCTGTCATTAGTAGGATGTCGTACCAATGTCCCTTCTGAAACGAGCCCAAACGGCCAGCTTTTGGCATTGAAGTTTTGTCAACTCCCAACCACCTGCCTGTTATCTATTCCCCTGTCTCACTAAAGAGGTCACCTAATGAACCTGAATTGCCATGTCCTTCCAGCCTTGCACACACACACCCAGTGTCAGCTGTCAATCTGCAAGATCCACCCTGAATGTAGAGATAGCCTTGTCATAGTAATATTCAGAGTTCTCAGAGTAAGTGAAAGAAACAAAGGGAAAGAAAAGCAGGGGAAATGACCGTTCAGCAAAAAGCTAACATTTCTTCATGGATAAAGATAACAAAGTGAGCAGTCTGAATTTAAGAACTGTTAGTGATATTAGTGCAGTGCTAGCCAACACAGGGCCCTCCAATTGCTGTTGGACTACAACACCCATCATTCCTGACCACTGGCCAGGCTGCCTGAGGCTGATGGGAGTTGGGAGTCCAACAAGATCTGGTGAGCTACCCCTGTATTAGTAGATCATGCTGTTCATAAAACTCCTTGAGTGAAAGCGTTTGGGTACAATAGAAGCCCATTTAATGCTTAAAATGATTTCATCTTTATTTCCCAGTACCCTCTTATAAACATGAAGACAGGAAAAAAGTAAAAAAATAAAAAGCACCCTTCCCCAGCCTGTTCCTGCCAGGTTGGTGGAAATGCTACTTTGGCATTTTTCAAAATAAGGACCCGAAGAGGAGCGCTTCTAGGCGACAACATCAAAAAATGTCGCAAGCGATCTCAGTAATGAACTTGCTCCTGGAATAACCTAGTCAAAAGAAATAGCATTTTAGCAGCAGTTCACTATGAGCCAGTTCAACTGGATTGTTTGCAGCGTCTGTTTTCCACCTTAACAATTTTTCAGAGGAAAAACTGTCCCTTAGAGCACTTTAAACTTTAAAAGATTTAAGAACAGTTAAATATTTAAGGTACACAAGACTATTTTGTGTGTGTTTGCTTTAAAAAACAAACAACTGAGATGGCTCTCCCTCTAGAATTTCTGTCATACCTCAGGCTCTCTGAATAACCGATGCAATGTGACTACAATGGAAGACGTTTAAAAAAACTTTTGCCCCAAGTTACAAACTTGGGAAGCACTGCAGTGAATGCTAGAGTAGACAAGGTTGGTAGGGAGTAAGAAAACAGGCATTCGTGCAAGAAATTTGAAAGATTTGAAAGTAAAAGACGGTCTAAAGGACTGGGAAATGAGACAAATGAACAAAAACAGGCACTAGAAAAGAATGAGAAAACATAAAATATACATATGGGGGGGAAAGGTAGGAAAGCTGTAAGCTGGGAAATTACAAAAAAATGAAGAGTGGAAAGAGGAACAAGGCAACAGGATATTTCATATCTCCTCCTCCACTGGCAACAGAGGGTGTATGTGAGAGTTAGGCTTGTTGGGACTAAAAGCAATGCCACAGGAGGAAGGAACAATGCCCAACCACTTGTGGATACCTGCTGTATGGAAGGATGAAGGGTCTATCCTAGCTACGCAGGCAAGTGGTTTTTCTGGAGGGTTGAGAAGGAAGAAGCAGGGGCTGGAACAGGGCCCCTCAAGAGAGCTGGTTTTTGTGTGTGTGTGGCTATATTCTGCACAACATGCCATTCCTGCAATAGTGTTTCAGAGAGTTCTCACCTCAGCCCCGGCCTTTAGGTGCAAGGACATGGAAAAAGGGGGAAATATGGTACATGCAGAGAAGTTCACCGTGCAAGAAAAATTCCCAACGCCTAGCAGAAGCAACTATAGATCAGTGTTTCAGCATCTGCACCCACAAACATTGTTCCCCACTGCTCCTAAGGAGGCCTACCCGCTGTAGTCTGAAGAAACTACATTCCTAGTTGGCACATAGAAATCAGAGCATACTCACGGCTCCACAATGAGTAGGAAAGGCGGCAGTTCACTCTTCGATAAAACTGCTTATTTATAGGCCAGAGGATTAGCGTGCATAGCTGGATGAAGTTAATGATGAACCCACTCACAACGAAGACGAACCCAATCAGGAGGTGAACTATAAACTGGGTCTTCAGAAACGCAATTAAGCCCATGATAACCACTTAGTAGCGCTTGCAAGGTCCTTCACTCAGAATTACCGTCCTACAGAAAAAGAATGAAAGAAACAGCTTGCTTAGCAAACAAAACATTCCTAATCTAGAAGGGGAGGGGAATGCTGATATTTCCTCCCTGCCAAGTAGCAGCTGGGGAATCATAAATGGCATGTTCACCCCCAGGCCAATTTCATCCAGGTCAACAGTTGGTTAGCATTATATTGCAGATCATGTTGGGAAAATGGAAACCATTCAGCTCTTGCACACCTGCAATTCCTACACAGCTTGATTTTCCAAAAGCTCCAGATTCTGGTGCCACAATATACCGTATATGATGGTTTTGCATGGGCATGAACAGCGAAACAGAGCCGTCTTGCTTTTACACGTAAACAATGGTTTTAAAACAACCTCTAAAATGTAAGACAGCCTCCTCACATTCTGAATACATAAGACTTGCAAATCATCAGGGGAGTTGGATGGGGAATACTGAGCCTTTTCCTATTCACTAAAGTCAAAAGGTCACCTCCCTCTACAAAAAAAAGTGTGGGGAAAAGATAAGGGAAATGAATATCTGGAAATGGTGGACCATGGGCCAAATGCATACTTGTGGGAGTGCTTTCTGGCCCAACAGTTGCCAGCCATAGAAGAGGCAGATGTGAAAGAAACTTTGGCTGTGGTGGAGAGATCTGTTGCTTTGGCCCTCCCTTACCCACTCTCAAAATACCCTTTTTGCAAAGCTGAATGGGGCAAAATACTCTCAAATAGCATAGATGCTTCAGATTCTCACTAATCTGATAACATTCTCCACCAAAGTAAGCCAAATTCTGCATCAAGAAAAACCGAATCCTTTGAAAGTTTGCATGCTTCATATGGATCCAGATTCCAGGAGCATCTCTATCATTAAAGTAAGAGGGATCTGCTTAAAATGTGAAAAAACACCAATCATAAAAAAAGAAAAATCAAGATAATTTGTCCTATTGCTATTAAATTTGGTATGCCAAATCCCTCAGGTATGGGGTACCAGCAGTCCAAATTTCAAGTAAACTGGATTAAATAAACAGCTCACTTACATCAGTTTAAGAGTGCCCACCACGACAGCCACATATTTCTCATAGCTGGTTCTCATGATACGGGGGAGACTTAAATTCGTCTGTATGGAGCAGTAGATTTATATATATTAAAAAGAAAGAAAAAAGTGGAGTGTGCGGTGCCAAGATGTACCTTCTGTTTAGTTTTTGAAAATCTGATGTGTTTGGTAGGCCCCCTGTTTTCCAGATTCTGCATTGTTCAATGACTTAAATTTAGTTTATGGCTGCTGGGTAGCACCTGCCACTAGGGGGTGCAAGGAGAATTGGTACATTTGTAGTTGTCGGAAAAGAATTATAGTTTGATGTGAACAGATCTACTCTGCGGGGCACACCAGGTCAGGTAAAAAAATGTGCCACTGCACCCAATCTCGAAATTTGTAGAAAAGAACAGGGGGAGGGGGGGTCAGGGAAAGCAAGCTTTGTTTTGAGCAGAAATGTAGGGAGAATGGAAAATGGGAGAGTGGGAGAGGAAGCAAAAGTTATGCTAAATGACCAATGGTGTGTGAGAAGGCTGAATAGGATTTAGCTGGGTGTTAGTGGGGGGAAAGGAGATGTGCTTGCATAGGGCTTCTGGGAAGGGGACAGTACTTGATTAAAGAGCAATACACACAAGCTCAATTCTGACAAATAATGTTTAGAGAGCTTGGGGCCTTAACCTGCCACAGCCGTCCCGGTCTTGTAATCCATCACTTGCAGCCTGATGTGGTACAGCCCTTGTACACCATGAAGGCTGTCATTTGTTGTACAGGCACACATAGTGTGCTCACCCGCAATGGAGTCTCCACATGCCTACACTATGTTTTTGCCTTCCGACCTTAATCCTTTCCCTCTTCTGGTCAGAGAAAAACCAAAGCTGGTGACAGGCACAGGGGCACCCTACTTTATCTCAGCTTTGGGTCTTCTCAGGCTGCTTGGTCGCCCACAACTCTCACCATGTTGCCATCCAGATAAGATTAGTGGCTGAGCTCTCTCTGGATAGGAATTAACCAAACTCTGAAGAGGCATAGCCCAACAGCCAGGCCCTGAAACTCCCTTAAAATCCTGGTGCTAAGTGTTCCTTCAGGGAAAATGACAGTTTCCTTATTAAAAAGGCAAAATGATTCCAACTCCTACACATCAGTTGCTCCCTTCCGATTGCAAGAATGCATCTCCTTGATTTTCACACCACGGAAAAGCTGAGTGGGCTTTGATTCGTTCCAGAGTCAGACCGTGGAGGTGGCGAGAAAGAGTGAGATGAGACAAGCCCAAGGCTTCCAAAGCAGGGGTGGAAAAGGCCTGGACCTCAAGGTAAGTTAACTGAAGGAAGTTTGAAGACAGAAAGCGTCCCTCTTCTCCTGCTCCGCTGCGGCCCTCTAACTGGGAGTGCTCAGGATCCCCTTCTGAACTACTTGGAATGGGGCTCAAGGGGCTGGTGGAGAAGAAACATTCATTCATGGTGCTGTGACCCAAGAGCCCTGCAATGATCACAACACGGAGTAAATAAGCTGTAGAGTACCTGGCTGCTGGAGATTAAGGGACCACTGAGCCTAAGCATGACAGTATCACACATGACAACCAGACAGAACCTTCATGGACGCTCCTGTGAGCCCGAGAGCCCAAATCAAGACCTCACCACTCCAGGTGGTAGGTAGTAGGCTATAAATCACAGGAGTGGCTGTCTTCAGATCAGGGTGTTGGCCCCTTAAGAATACTCTACCATGCAAGTAGAGGCTTAAAGGGGCTCAATTTGCTTTCAACCTCTGTTGGGCACAGAACACTCTGTGGTTCTGCAGTTTCTGCCCTGCCTTGTTGTCTTGTCCCATGGGCTCCATCCCAGCCCAGGACGGTATACCCATGAGTACTTTACGATCCAAGCCAAATCAGGTTTGATTTCAACCTACCCCAGAACCCTAATCCCCATGCCAAATCCTCTATTATTTAGAAGTCCCCTCCAACGTTCTAGAAAAGACACAAGTAGCTGCAGGGATGATGGGATAGGCAACATTCCACTCTGAACTTCTTTAAGTTTGCTTATCATAGGATCCAAACTAGTTTGTCCCCATTTGAGCTACTTTCATTCAGATGGCAATGAAATAAATTATATCAGATAGGTAGATAGGCAGATAGATAGTGTACAGGCATCCCCCTACTTACACGTGATCAACTCTCATATGCGTTTTGCCAAGAAATAGTTAAATAAATTCAAACCTGGAAATGACAGGAGAGAGCTGGAGAGTCCTTGTGGCTCGTGAGCAGGCCTTCCCTGGAGCCCAAAGAGGACATCAGTGAAGGCGGGGGAAGCCCCAAAGAGAGCAGAGGTGCAGTGGGCTTTGTTTAAGCTGCTCAGCTTCCCCACCTAACAGCTGGTGTGCAGGGTATCACAGCAGCTGATATTTACCTGCGCATATTCCAGCCTCCTGCCAGCCCCAGAGCTTCAATTTTGGTTGCATTTTGGGGTACAGTATTTTTTATATTGATTGGCGAGAGAGCAGCAAAGAGGTTGTTTGGAGGCTTTGTAGAGGGTACACCCCATTTTATGCAATTTCACTTATGTGCTCGGGGGACCGGAACTAACCCCTGCATAAGTGGGGCGGGGTGCCTTTATATAAATTTTCATTACATAATGTAAGCATCCTTTTGCTCTCCACATCACCTACATAATTTCAACCTGTGTCTGTAACCCTAAACACACTTATTAGGGATCATGGTGGAATTTACTTCCAAGTAAGCATGCCAAGTATTGTGCCGGTTTTTTTTCAACTAGCAGGAAATTATCTCTTGATGATGATCAAGCAGTCCTGGCACTTAGCATGGAAATTATCACTTTTCAACAGACACGACTGCTCCCTTTGGATATGCTATTTAAAGTCCAGAAACAAGAAGCAAACAGCAACTGGGTAAGAAGGCACAGTTGCCCACACATGTGGGTAAATTACACCGCAAAAAACAAGCCAGCTAACTTGACAGAAGGCTCTGTGAACAAGACACAACAGCAATCTAGCATAATTAGTTACTTCCTCACACCATTACACATTTATAATTCCCAAACAATGTATTTGATATTTCTGAAATGAATACTGCTCTGTCGTGCTGCCATTCTCTCACAGGGCAGAGGATGAATTGGCCGCTAGCTTAGAAAGAAATATTCTTGTTAATGTCAATAATGTTCAAATCAAATCATGGAGGAAGTCTAATAGGTTAAGTTCTTGAATCCATATATTAAGCTGTAATTTCTGGGCATTGATTTTTCCATTTCAGCATATAGACATCACGACAAGTACTCAAGGTAGCCTTACTCTTCCAACTCTACAATTCTATGAATGATCCACCAAGAATGAACTAATATCAACCTCACTGTTGACCAAGCAGCTGGCCATTTACATACATTCTCCAAGTATTTCTGGCTTGAAGAGCTGACAACACAGAGTACATGCCGACATAAAAAGGGACAAAAAGGCACATTTCGTAAAGCAGGCATCACAATGACATCAGGCGTAAAGCACTTTGAAGTCCTGATGTCAAGACTTCAAATCACCTTGCAAGGCACTGCTAAAACCAAGTTAAGAGGTTTGCTTCAGAGTCAGTGGCTATATACCAACAACTCATTCACCTAAGGAAACTGGTACATTTGGAGTGCTTCCTCTATCAAGTAATATGTGTTTTTAATGGAAAAATCATACTACTATTGTTAGTTTTCAAAGTTCTAAAGAAGCCCTTTGGAATGGGCAGGAAATAATAATACTTGAGAATATCCTATTTCCTTTCTTATAGGAAGGAAAGTGGTTCAAAGTACTGGACATACACTAAGGGGATGTGGGGAGGGGCAGGTTTTAAAGAAAAAGCATTACATTTGCCTTGATTGAATCCAATGGGAATAGATAAAACTAACCTAAGGAAGTACAGTACAAAGAGAAGGCAGATATAGTTCTGGATTAAGAAGCAACAGTGGATTGAGAAAAGTTAATATTACTAAAGCATGTGT